TATATATATATATATATATATATATATATATATATATATATCAAAAACATAAAAAAAAAATAAAATAGAAATTTTATACAAAAACATGAGAGCCAAAATTTTTTCCAACTTTTGAAGGCAAAAAAACTATCGAAATCTTCATTTTTTTCTTTCACATTATTTAGCATAAATGTGCCGTAAAAAAAAAAAGGCAGAATCGTAAAAAAATTTGATGTCAATTTTTTACCTAGTTATGGCCCAAAATGATGTTGACCCCACTTGTAAATAATTAACAAATTTTTTTTCTCAAAAAAAAAAACAGCAATTTCAACTTCTTGTTAAATAAAATTTACCAAAAACTCAACAGTTTTTTATGTGACGCTTGGGCATGCTTAATAAACTATTATTGTATGGAACTGAGCATACGCATGCGCATCAATCGTTCGAGTTGATAAGAACGGAACCATATTTTGACAATTATTGTTTAAGTTAAAAATTAAAAAAATATAAACTAAAAAAGTTCCCATTTGAATTTCAGCCTCAATATTCATAATTAATAAAATTATATTGATAAATACGGAATATATTTTTATATTTTAATTTTTATTGGACACAATAAAAAATATCTAATTTACAAAAAAAAAATGAATTAATACTTTTACATCATTATCCATAAAACTTACACTGAATCAATATTAATTAAAGTTATATACAGAAGAAATATGTAGAAAAAAATTATAGCCATGGGTGCCAAGACGGATCCATACGACAAAGATTATCGTGGCTACTTGCTGCAGCGACGAGGGTAGTGACTTTGTTGCCTTCGCCGTTGTCTGCAAAATTGGCAAGAGAGTTGAGTCTTGTCATAATAGCAGTGACTGCGCGTGTCACCATTGTTATTAGTAATTCGCCTTTCATGTCTGCTGGTGCCTGGGACGCGTTCTCGATGTCTTCCTGCTTTCGATTGTGATCAGCAATTACTTCATCGCGTAGAATCGCTCGTAAAATTGTGTGGACTTTGAAGGAAGGATGGACTAGACATCTAGCTATTGCTATCGCTGATGCTGTCAATGGGCCTGATACACCTGAAATATTTATCAGATTAGTTAATGAACAAAAGCTAGCTCCAATCATTTTATTAGAATATCTCGTCCTAAGCTAAAAGGGCGCATAATTTTTTTTATCACAAATCGACTGGTAGACATATTCTACGCATAAAAATCAAACAATAACTGATAAAAAATTTAATTTGATTCAAGAAAAAAGATCTTGAACCAAGAGAGTACCATTTTGAAAGAAATCATTTTCTTGAGCCAAGAGAAAAAATTCTTGTCAAGAAATTATTCTTAATTCAAAAATTATTTCTCTTGACTCAAGAAAATTATTTTCTTCAAAATGGTATTCTTGATTCAAAATTTTTTCTTCTGAATCAAGTTAAATTTTTCATCAGTGTTGATTTCCTAAAGCCAAAAAAAAAAAGGGCGTATGTATTTGATTGTTCGCTCTTTTAGTTTTAGAAATTTGGAAATTTTAGTGACCTAAAGCTAAGAGGGCTTATATTTTTTTTTCTCTGAGAAATTTACTAAAATACTTATCTAAAGCCTAAAAATTAAACGAAAAATGGTACAGTAAAAGAGGTGTACTTTAACTATATGTTGTTTTAAAATTAAAATTAGAAATATTTAAAAAAAATTATAAAATATATAAAAATTAATATTTTTTAATTTTTTTTTAGAAATTATTATGTTTTTTTTCAATTATTTTTTATAAAAAATTTTCTATTCATGAAAAATTGATATTATTTTTTTCACTATTTAACTTACAATAATTTTTGAGAAAAAAAAAATGTGTCGTAGGTTAAAAAAATTTTTGTCATGTGAATTTTATATTAAAAAATAAACTAATTGCGAAACTCAACAATTATTTTTGTTTTGCTCCTTTTTATAATGATTGAGTTATATGTACTACATTGTTTTTTGATTCTAACTTGTCTTGTGAAACTATTTGTCAACATTTTGTATTAAAGCTTAAATTTTTTTTATATGCTATTTTAGGATGCTCGAATTTTTCGTAATTATTCACTTGTGGGGTCAACCCATGCTTTTTTTTTTTTTCGATCATATTGATCAATTTTATTTTTAAATTGTTCGTTTTTTTATTTCCTTTTAAAAAAAAATACATCAAAAAAAGATAAAATATAAATTTTATCTAAAACATGAAAGCCAATTTTTTTTTCCAACTTTCAAAGACAAAAAAACTATCGAAATCTTTATTTTTTTCTTTCACGACATTTTTTATTATAAATGCGCCGTAAAAACAAGCAGAACAAAAAAATTAAAAAATTTTAATTTTTCACCTAGGTGTGACTTAATAATAACCAAATTTTTGTTTACAAATTTTTGTGTTTTTAACAATTTTAAAACAAATGGGAAAAAATTTTTGCGCCCTTTTACCTTTTAACACGCTATTAAAAAAAAAAAAAAAAAAAACTTACCCGTTGTCGTGATGAAATCCAAAATATTTGGAGTAAGTCTGAATGGTACCGGTCGTTGTGCGTCTAACTCTCCAGACATGTCATCAACGTCAAACTTGAAGTAGGCAATATTAACCAACCCCGAGTCTTGATGAATGTACATCATATCCGGATTGAGTCTGGTAAGATGTAAAACATACTCAGCGAAGCACGCAAGAGCCAACTGGAGCGTAAACATCTTTCTGAAGGTCCAGTAGTCAGTAGCGACCGGGAAAGTCTTAACCGCCCAAGACTTCATCATGGTCCTGGGCACCATGGTTGACTGAATGTTTTTGAGAATATCTCTGAGCATTTGATGGCTGGCTTGAGCGCCTTTGGCCTGCATCACTGCCAGTTTTTCATAGTAACGCGCAATAGGAGCATCATGTTCCATGCCTTCATTGCTTCCATTATTAATTTTAGCACAGCCAAGCTTATAAATATCCAGCAGTGAGGTAGACGCAGGGTTGTCTTCAACCAGTCGCATCTGCGGCGAAACTGCAACGACTCTCGGAACAGTAAAGTGCAAAAACCGCCTGGAAGTCTCTTTCTGTTTAGCCAAGTAGTAGTTGAGCATCCTGAGCAATTGGAGGACACGTTCTTCACGTCTTGCGTCTCCTAGACCCGCGTCATTGACAACCAGGTACGGATAAAGTCTTCCATTGTGCCCGCGAATCCTCAGTCTCCTCGCAGCAGTGTTGTGTCTCTGGACGACTTCAACTCTTGGCATGAATCTCGCAATTCTCACGTAGTAGTGGGAGTGCTTGGGCAGTAAAAACTCACCTGGAAGCTCAACTTCAGCCGTTTTCAAACTGAAATTACTCAAGAACCTGCACTTTTCCTCAATAAGAAAAGACTTGGGCAGCTGACGCGTCTTGCCTTCCAGTATCTTGATCCATTTCTTCAGTTTGCTGATCAAATTATGCAGCAGCTTGGCTCCTGGTTCAGTAAAATCAAAGTCTGATGAGAACTTTCCTTTCATGCTCTTGAAAACCGGATCCTTTTCCGTCGCCTGAGCGCGTCTTGCCAACGATTCAGACGCTGCTGATCCAAAAGTCTGGGGCGTTGCTTGCGAGGACGTGGAAGAAATATTTTCAATTCCAATTCCAAAAGTAGCAACCAACTTCTTGACAAAGTTGAGTGTGTGAGGGGTTATGGTAGCTTCTGAAACAGCCCCTCGATTTTCAAAAGCGATTGCGTAGCACTTGGCCAAACCTTGACGCAGCTGCCTGAGAACTTCTTCGTACCAGGTTTCCCTGAACCAAACCATCTGATCAACAATCCCCTCAAGACTGGATAAAATAGTCGGATGGATATCCCGCTGCAAGTGCATGATCTTGGAACACCTCCACATCGGAGGAGTAGCTCTAATTGGCCCAGTTTCCGTTGAAGTAGATGAATTCGATTGATTCGAGCTCATATTCGAAGAAGTACCCGACTGTTGCTGCTGTAATTCCGCACTCTTGTACCGCTCGCGTTGCTCGATCTTCAAAGTCAAGTAGAGTGTCCTAATAGAAAAGTAAACCGCTTGTGGGAACATGCGTCCGACTTGTGACAGCAGGTTCAGAATAACCAATCCGTCGTGCCTGATCAAGCACATCAGTAACTGAGGAATCCATGGCAACCATTGAATTGGCGGAACTCCAACGGCATACTTCTCAACTGCGTCCATCAGCAAGTTCTTTTCGTCGTCGTAAGTCAGCAGCCAGAGAACTTTAGCCAAATATTTCCGGGACTTTGATTCATTTTGGTGTCGGCAAGCGTGGAGGAAACAAGTGATTGCTGAAACACCAATAGCAATTTGTTGGCGAGAGTCTCTGGTGAATATTTGCTCGAGGTAGTCTCCCCAAAGCGCCCAAGCCTTTACAAGAGTATCATGCAACTGTACAGCAGCAGAGAAAGCTTTGTTAGCGTCGTCCGAGCGCCCGATTTGGGAAAGAAGCATTCCCTTGAGTGCGTAGAATTCAGCAGTCATTTCTTTGGTAAAGTATTTCAGATTAGTAGACTCGATAACCTCCAGGCCTTCTTGAAGTTCATTGTTTCCGCTGACTGCTGCCATCTGGAGGTAACACTTGACCTGCTGTCTGATCTTCTGGAAGCAGTCGACGATTGGTACGCTTGGAATCGTATAGATCCGTGACAAAGAGTCCAAGCAGACGCCAGTTAAGTTGTGCTTGCGCGCTATCTTCCCGAAGTGAATTATCGCCTGAGCAGACGCGTGCACACCAAGCATTGAATGGTTGTTGGTTGTTACAGTGGGAGTGACGGCAGCGGCAGCCTGAGGATTGGCTGGGTCTTGTTGTTGCTGTTGTTGCTGTTGTTGTTGCTGCTGCTGTTGCTGCTGCTGCTGCTGCTGCTGGGCATCATAGTGGCTGGAAATGAAGGTATAGTGGTGTTGTCGCCAGGTGAATATGTCTGACCAGTGGCTCAAGTCATCAGCAATCACTGGCAATCTATTCCGCCAGGTTTTGACGATTGCTTTCATGTCATGCAGCGACGAAGCAGTTGATCGTCCATGCAGCAATCCTTGATGAATTTGCATCGCTTCTTGAAGCTCCATTATCTGCTGAGCAGCTTGTAGAAGCGGCAAGTGAATGTGGCTGACAATTGGCGGCAGGCGGCGCCACTCTCTCATGCACAAACTCGACGCCATTTCAACGTACCGCTCTACTGTGTTTAAATGTTGGTCTTCGTTGTGGCAAATAGCGAGGAACCCTCGGTAGAGGTTCACACGCCAAGCCATTTCTTTCGGGCAGTTGTGTTCCACTTGAGCGAGTGCTTCTTTCATCTGCGCCCATTCGGGAACACGCCAAGAGCTTTCTAGCACCAGGAATGGATTCCTTTCAGCTTTTTTGCCTCCGTACTCCAAAAGAAGGTCCCACTGGTTCAACTCTTTAGCACACCTGATCCAGTGTTGCTCCCACAACAACGTTTCTCTTTGAATCTTGAAAGGCGCTGGACTGCTGATGTAATCCTGCTTGAACTTGGTCATCGCTTGGTCGTACGCCACCTGGGCTTGCTCGAAGAATCCCTGCTGCTCCAATGCAGTCGCCTGAACTGTTTCCTTGTAATGGGCATGCTTCTGCCACAATCCGCACCACATGTCTTCTTCACACAGCAGCGCGTACATGTCCGCCAGAGAATCAAGAATCTGAGCATGCGGATTGTTCGCTGCAGTCACCGCGTCTGCAGGTTCAAAGTCATAGCAGTCAAACGCTGATTGTGTTGGAATCATATCACGCTTGTCACTAAAAAGACTAGAGCTATTAGCATTAACGTTGGCATTGTTATTCACACCGACTCCAGAATCACTCCCGTTATTGAAATCTCCGTTCTCAAAAGCCATCTTCTCTAGAGTGAGTGTCATTCTGTGCCACAAGTTGTGCGAGCGTCCAAGATACTTGATCAACGGTGGCCGAATTGGTACTGGAGGGTCGCAGTGTGAAATCGCTTCGACAAAAGTCGCTATTGCCGACGGATGGCAGTCCTTTTGAATAACATGAGCGCCTGAACAAACAAATGGAACTATTTCTGCTGTCAGAGCTGCGTGCTGCGTTTCATCCAAGATACCCCAGAGTCTAGGGAAAATATCCAACCACACTCTCTCCGCTAAATTGGTATCCATATGACAGAGCTGAGCTGCTGCTAGAAGAAACTGTTCCGTCTTAACTTTCCTGGCAGTCTGTAAGAATTCATCTTGTTTGATTATCAACTGGTTTATTGTCTCTGTCGTCTCAATCACAGGCTTCTTGTCAATTTCCATGCTAATGTCTGCGCTGATTGTACCCAAATCCATGTCCATCAGATCATCCTTGACAATAGAAACCAGAGAGTCCAAATTTCCTACAAAGTCATCAGTCATTTCTTCATCCAGACCCGGTTCTTTTTTTATCCTCGTGAAGAACAAATCGGCTTCGTCATTTGAAATCAGCGATGTAGAAGCGAATCTTGATGTGTTTATAATAGAACTCAATGACGGCAACAAATTGTCTTGATTCGAAAGCTTCATTGGCGTTGAAGCACTGGCTGTTACGATTACAAGCTCGATGCACTGCTTGATCCAGTAATGAGGCCCCATTGCGTCCCAACTCTGGCTGCAAATGATGTAGAGCAATCTGTCGTACAATCTTCTGCGCATTGAGCTGTCAAAGACTTCGAAAAACTTTGCGCGAATCTGCGGCTGTGTACATCTAAGTCCGCTCAAGAACGCAGGTTCTAGTTTAGAAGTTAGATCTGTTGTTCTCAGGGTTTCGTCGCGGTAAACGTAGTTAACAAGCTCTAAGAACTGTCCATTGAGTTCTTGGTCATCGGGGAACTTTTTTTCAACGCACTGCATCATTTTAACCAACAACATTGACTTTTCCTTCAAACTAGGCGCTTGGTTTACCGCAATTGGGTTCTTGTTCTTCATCCACTCCTCCAGCATTCTCGTTATCGCTTTCATTATCTTAATATCGTGAGTTTTTTCAATCAAGATGATCAATATCGAGGAAATGAAGGACTTACGCATATCAGGACTCATAACAGCAACTCTGTTTTTGACCAGATCTAAACTAAGTATCAGCAGCTCGCTGTTCACTGGATTAGAGTCTGCGAGAGTAGTTGAAGTCGTTGATTCTGAATTAACACCAGTGCTGCTAAGTTGTAAGTGGTCTTTGGTCATTCGATGAAGCACACGGCCGAATTGTGCGATGAATCTGTCAATATAACTCGGATTGTTGATGCAAGCAGCCTTGAGGATCATCAGAGTTCCGAACAAGGATGTAGAAATACTGCTAGCTGGTGTACCAGTGGTGCTAGACAGCAACCCGGTGTTCTTTTCATAAGCAGTCAATCCCTCGGTTATGAAATTAGTAACCGCGGTGTACAAGGTATTTAATTCGTCGTACTTTGAAGCAGGAGTCGCTACTCCTGAAGCTACAATTGACTCTGTTGGGAAGATCGACATCAGTCTGGACATCAACGCGTGCATCAAACGAATCACCTTGGTGTTATTTGACGTCAGACAAGCACTAAGACCTCGCTGGAGCAGTTTAAAGTTAGCTAAAATTTGCTCGCGCTTCATCACGCCTAACAAGAATGTCAGCAACTCCAAAGCTGTACAAATATTCCCGTAATTAGGCTGCGCGCTGTCAATACTTGCAAACACTTTATCAAGCCAGTTTAGCTTCAAATCTGGTGGAGGTTGCTGTTGCTGGGTCGAACTGGGCCAGACATCGGGCTTTAGCGCCATTTTCAGTAAATTAACACAGCGACGGGACAACAGCTCTCCAGGATTTCCTGAGGATTGAATAGCAGCAGCAGTAGCAGCAGGTGTTGCCGTTGAAGTAGCCGAACCAGCAGCACCAGCAGCTCCAGCAGCGGTGACCATTCCAGAAGTTCCATCATTTACTTGACAAGCAAGACGCAGCAAGAAGTTGAGGATAGAATCCGCGTGTCCACGCTCAATTGGCTTAGTAGCACTAGGTTCTCCAGGGAATCTGTTGACGGGATTGGCCATCAGTTCATTCAAAGTAAGATTCGGGTCGCTGGTGTCCATTGGCTGGCCAGCGGCTTCGTCTTTAATGCGATGCAGCTCCCACTTGATGATAACCTCCGCCAATTCAACGGCAAGACGTCGATTGTCCAAAGTCGCGTTAGGACTGAACCCTAAGCGTTGGATTGAGTTGACCATATGCTGCACCAGGTGATGTCTCACCGGGTAGTAAACTTTGTAATGACGCACAACTAGCTGCAAAATGTGGATCAGTTGCTGCATAGAGTGTCCTTCTTCAACAATTATCTTCTTTGTCCAATGAGTCAGCATAGTGTTGCCGTCTTCCATGCGAACTGGCATCGCTGGCGTGAGAATTTCCAATGCCTGTCTGACGACACTGCGCGCTTCAACTGCGTGGGCCTTCAGCAGGCTGTGGAACACTTGCAGAACAATTCGCTTGTGGATCGCAAACTTGGCAATTATGTGAGAGAGCAGCAAGTGTCCGTGGTAGCGAGTTGCAGGGTCGACGCAGTTCTTGCCCAGCAAACAAGGCCAGGCAAAAGTCATCAGACGTCGTAATTTGTTGCCCTGTCGTTTGTTGGTGACGTCGTGAATGTGCTGAGACGCTTGCTCAACTAGAAGACACGAGAACTGCAGCAAAGAAATGCGTAGGCAATCTGCAGAAACGAAAGGATGCTCGGGGTCGATTACTCGGGTTATAAATACACTGACGACATTCTCTGGATTGTCTTGATAAGGCATAGGCGCACCACCGACTAGCTTAACACCTTCACCGCGTTCAAAACTTATTGCAAACGCTGGGATTATTATCAGCTGGAGTATTTTCGCTCTTAATTCTTCAGACAATGTTGATGCTGTACTAGGAACTCCTGTAGACAATGTCATTACTTCAGGACAATGTTCGACGAATCGGAAGAATGCGCTGCGTTTCCATTCGACTCCATACTCTTTCGCTACTGTGTTTTCCAGAAAATCTCTTAGGAATTGGAAGTCTGGAATAAACCGATCGCAAGTCGCGCGCAGCAATTGGAACAGAAGATCAATGTCCGTTGGATGATGGCTGAAGTAATGCAGAAGAATCTTAACAACCAATTTAGGTTCCTTCCAGCGACTGAAGTCGACGTTCTCAACCCGTTTGTGTAAATCAAGATACCCGTCCTGATACCAAAGTTGTTTCAAAGCCGCGACAATTTGGCCTTGAGAGGACAACCATTGCTCGTCGTATTTGATAAGCACGGAGATTATTCTGATTGCTTGATGCTGGAGTTCGTATTTGTCTGCAGCGGTCAAATTCGCACTGGTCGCAGAAGTTGTTAGTGTCGTTGACAGTGACGAGTTTGAAGCAGTCGCTGCTAATAGCATTGTTATCAACCTTCCAGTGCAGTTTGTATTCGTGTACAAAACATCTCTGAACGCTTTGCCATCAACAGACTGCTTGATCAGATATTCAAGATACCGACTCCACTGCTGGTCCTTGATGTTGTTGTCATGCAGAAATAGCGTAAGCGTCTCTGTAGGATAGCGCAGCAAGAATTTCATCAGTGGTCGTCGGAACGGGCTGGAGGCTTCAATCAGCAATGACTTTTCAGTTTGCAGAACTAATCTGCACAGGACATCAATGAATTTAGGCGTCGCTGCAGGAATCAAGTGGAAGATTCCGATTATTAACGATATCTTTTCCTTACAATCGTCGTCGAATTTTATATTATTAGCAGTCGTCTTATGCTGCTGCGTTGTTTGATTTGTCTGGATCAAATTTTCGAGCAGTTTCTTTAAATGTAGAAGCAATTGCTCACACAATGTGATACTGAAAGTACTTGGGAACAACTGGGTCAGATACGACAAACGTTTAACGCAATTCAAACTCAAATTTCTGTGATCACCAAGCATCAGTAACATCGGACGCATCGTTGTGTGAACAGTTTCCATGTCCATTTGAAAGCCCCCGATGAATTTCTGCATACATTCAAAAGCAGCTTGCTGCAATTCGGGATTTGGCCGTTCAAATGTGTGATACAAAGTTTTGAAAATCTTCTCTCGGAGGCAAACTATGTAATGACAAGCCGCTAGCGCTCTTAGCGCCGATTTGCGAAGCGGTATTAAATTACTGACAGATTTGTAGCAAGGCAGCTTGTGCAAAATGGAGTCTTCGTGATCACAAAGAGCCTGAAGTTCATGGAAGAATACTTTATGCTCTGGGATATTCAGGTCGATTGTAAACAACCGTGGGGTTAAAGTTGTGCAGAAGGTGTTACCATCCATCAGGCCAATTTGCGCATTAGCAGGCTGGTGGCGCAACAAATGTTTCTTCGGTGGAATCATATCAGCTAGAACGTCTTTGTGAGGTTCCATTACTTGGGTGACACTTTTGTTTTGAATCTCCGCTAGCAATCTAAGCGAGGACATTGCTTGTTCACGCACTAATGTATGCGGTGACGTTACTTGACGTACCAATTCATGAGTCACATCATGGATGCTTTTGTTTTGCACATCCAGAAGCTCTGGCGTCGCAGTAATTATGTCAGGATGCACATACACGCGTAACATTTGTTCCAAATTTTCCTTGGCCATATCAATAGCTCCATTTGAAACCTTACCGGTTAAATCCATCATCACGTACATCAGCGCTTTCAAAAACTGAAACAAATGCTGTAATACCCACTTGGTCGCCATGCGCTCAAACAAAAATTTAATAGCGATACAACCACCTAGTTTCGAGTACCAAGCGCGTTCGTAACAGAGCGCGCACATTTTTTCAGCCAGATACTCCATCATCGGCAATTGGCAAGCACGTTCCTTGCTACCAAGAATCTGAGTCGCGGTTTCGAGGGTCAAAATCAGTGCTAACTGCCCGGGTTTACAAAGTTCTTTTTCTTCGTGGCCCATTATCGTCGCCAGGGCGTCTATTAGCACCAGCGGATCTTGGCAGCGATTGATATAACCATTCGGCTGCTTGTCTGCAGTCAGACAATAGGGTCCAGCTTGCTGAGCTATCGCAATTATCGTGTAATGTCTTACCAATGAAACCATTGTTGCTATAACGGATTGTTTGAGCTCTTTGATAGCCGCGGCTACGAACAAGCCAGTCAATGCTGTCTGCAAGACATTTCTAGCAACCATATTCTCGTATTTGTAATTAATTTCTTGCAACTGGGACTGTTGTTGCTGTTGCAAAGACGGAAGATTGTTTTCCTTGAAGCTGGGAGATGTGAATAATTTATTAAGCGCTAGACGCGTCGCTTCGTCAGTTGCATCAGTGCTATCAGTAGTCGTATCAGGATTTAATTGCAAGACACTGGCTAGATAGCAATTGATTACTTGCCAGCATTGTTTTCTGTAGAATGAGTCAGTGGTGTTTGATTTCAAAGCTGTAAAAGCCGTTTCGATGATCATTTCGATGGGCAATTTTACAGGCGATGTTGGTGAATCCGGAAAATGAATAATAATCGCAGGCGATTCATTTCCATTTACTCCATCGCGGTCGTTGTAGTCAAGACGTTGGGGTTCTATCATCATTTTACGATTTCCACCACCAAACTTACCCAACACACGGAATGCAACGTGCGCTACTTGGTCATTTGGATTGCGCAGAGTCCGCCAAAGCGCTTGCATCAAGTCAGCGCGAACTGGCTGAATATGTTCGTAGAGAAAATCAGGCTGCAAGTTGTCCACGCAGAGTTCTAGAGTACGCAAGCCCTGGCTGACCAAATTATGGCTTCCGTTCAACGCAGACACCAGCGGATCCATCAGCATCGGTAAGTAAGGCAGCAAAGAACTTAAGCGCACTGGCACTGTGAGACACAGTTCAACAAACAGGTCTTTCATGTGCTGCTTGTGGAGGCCTGATTGCAAGCGATTCAAGCCCTCGAGTAAGTTTGGAAGAAGTGGAAGAAACTCTTGGTACAGTAGATCATGCGAGCCACCGCCGATAGAACGGAACAGTGCTCGCAGTAGCAAGAAGTAATTGTACGGTTCTTTAGCGGACATCGCTAGTTCCATTGAGCGCGTAACTATCTGATGTAAATGCGGGCGTAGCATGTGTTCATTTTCTGCTGGAAAGAGCGACACGCTGCCAAAAACTAATTTGAATAAACGTAAGTACAGATTACTGCGTTCAACATTCGAGCCCATGTCATCCATGCGCTCCAATAGGTATTCAACTAACACAGTTGCGAAAATCGGTGAAGTCGTGGGATTAGCTAAGAATGAATTTCCGACAATTTGCAGCGCTCCGTTGCGGAATATTCTTTCAACCATGTAGTCGATGGTAGTAGAAAATATTTCCTGGAAAGTCTGAGGGTTCATCATTGAAAACACCCCGCTGAAATGTTCCAGCACTTCTTTTTCTTCCTTTGTTCTGACAGTTTGTGGTGGGGGAGGTTGAGCTTGCGCACCAGCTCTTATGTGGTATTGGTGCTGTTGGGTCGATAACGTTGGATTCGTCATTAGCGGTCCAATTGTATAAATATCTAGAGCCTGAAGCGCCCATTTAACGAGACGAATAAAAACCAATGTTTCACGAGGCTGAAATTGCTTCGACTGAATAACATCACCAGCGCTGTTGGTCGATTTGCAGTTAGCGCAGCCCCAGGTTATTGTCTTGACACCACATACCAAAGTTTTTATCAAACTGCGGTAGTCAGACACGTTGCAATTCACCAGAGACGATGCCTGATTCTGCGGAGTTAAAAATTTAGATTTGCTGGCTTCTTTTTCTTGCTCGGTTTCTTGCAACAATGGAGGCTTGTTGTCCTCTGTTTTTATTTCAACCGTCGCTCCGGTAGCTGAAGTTCCAGGTGTAGACCCAGCAACAACTCCAGATCCAGTAGCAGCCGCAGCAATAGCTTTTGCGTTATTAGCTTTGTTCAGTAAAATAGGCAGCTGTAACTTGGTGATAGTTTTAAATTTAAGAACAAACACTTCCAGCATGCGCATCAACAATTCTCGGCCTTGGTTACTGTTGTCACTGTCACTGCGCGTTCTAATACACTCGACCAAGTTCAGCAGCAGTTTGCAAGACATTGTTTGTATTGACGTAGGCAAACTTTGGTCGTGGACGTTTTTACTGAACAGATGAACGGCGCGTGCCAAGTCAGGCAAAAAGAGCAATTGACGAACGTGGTGAACTAAATCCGCTAGAGTTGAGTAAGCTAATGGACGCAGAGATTCGTAAGTAGTCCAACCGTTGCCGAGCAATACTTGCTCGTCAAAAAGACGCTCCATGTAAGGCACAAATTTTATTCTTAAATCAGTTGCCAAAATATGACGAGCAGCGATCAGCAATTCACGTCTCAAGTGTGTTACTTCAATGGGACAGAGCGTCAACAGTCCCAGCATCCCTTTTACCATCATGGTGCTGTGTGTCGCGACGACATCTTGATAAATCCGAATTATGTAAGCCAAGAAGCTAATTGTTTTGATTTGCGCGCCCATAAAGTCTACGAACACTTCTTTGTTGAAGCCAGGAGCGTTTCGATGCTGCAAACTCGGCTGCAGAGTTATTGTTGTCATTATCAATGGTATGAAGTCAGCGACGTCTTGATGGACATTCTGCTTGTAGATCTGGTACATCAGTACCACAATTATCGGTAACTCCTGCAACACTTTTAGCGACAAAACGGCTTTGGGAATGAGGTTGTATGTTATAATAGTACCATCGGTTGCTTTTTTTTCACTTTGAACCGGCGTTATCGTGAAAGTTTCACGCAAAAGCGACTCGATGTTCAGCTCACTCAAATCTTTAACTTTAATCGGCGGTCTTGGTTCAAAAATTTTGTTCAAATTTTTCGGTAATTCACTGTAGATTGACTTTACAAACTGCAAGAAGTGCTGGATCTCGGGGTTGAAAGTCGGGCGATACTGTTTGTGGAGTTCGATTATTATTCTTAAACAGACGAGGATGTTTTCCTCGTTCTCGGTCTCGAGTAGCTTAAGCATCAAACTCAAGATTGGCTTAACGTAAGGACGCAGGTGCTCGTTGGTAGGCAAGCGGTGGATCATTTCTAGGATCAGCTTGCGTACTTGCTGGATGTTATATTCTGATATAAAGTGCGGCTCACCTTCTTGCAGGATTTTAACGAAGATTTTCATCATGTGGTCCAAGAACGCTGGGTACTGCGATGAACACATTATCACCTCGAAGTTTTCGGATAATTCTTGGGCGGCTTTCAGCTTTAACTCGTCTTTGGAGTTTGGGTCTGCTAACATGGTCACGTATGACCTGTAGGTGTTCATCTGTGTCACCGGGTCCGGTGGTGGTGGCTGTGGTGGGGGCATTTTTTTTTTTTCAACTAGTGCAGTTTTTCGGAAATTTTCGGTTTAGCGATTGGAGTAAGTAATTAGAATACTTAGTCTTATATTTACCTGGAAAGAAATAATAATCAAATTAGTATAGGAATTTAAATAACATTTTTTATTAATTATAATTATTAATCAAGGTTCCGTGAAACTTAAAAATATTAATAATATTAACATATTTTGGCAAAATAATCAGAAGTTAATTTAAAAAAAATTTTTTTTTTATTACTGTAGTTAAATAATAGTCAAGATTTATAAATGCTGATTTTAGTATTGAAAAAAATTTTTATTAGATTGGAAAGAACTGAGCGAAAAAAAATTACTTTTTTGAAAAATATATCATGTTTAATTTCAATATTTAAGTTTCAATGTTTATTAATATTTTTTTTTTTCAAAATTATCTATATTAATTATGAATGTTTTTTAATAATAATTTGTTTAAGGAATTCATAAAATTGTCAGATGTCTGTTCATTACAGTATCATAATAAAATGGAGTGAATTAAAATTTATAATTTTTTTATCATCTATATTATTAAGAGAATAAGAAGAATTTTGTTTTTAGCATAGTCATATGTTAAATCGGTTTTTTTTAGTGAAATTTAGTGTCATTGCAAAGGTCTTGACTTGAATTTGCGCCTTTTCAAGGTTTCATTTCATTCTCACCGATAGTCAATTTATTATGATAAATATTCAAGCTGCATTCGAAAATACTCTATCTCTAGATACATAATTAAGAAATGACCTTTTATCTTATGAAATATTGATATTTTTAAAGATATAAGCTCATCTCGGTGTTACACTCATCAAGACCTTTCATTTGAGTACCCACATCAATTTTTCATATATTTTATATATTTATATATTTCACAAATACCATATATATAAAATATATAAAAAATGCCATGTGGGTACTCAAATGAAAGCTCTTGATGAGTGTAACATCGGGATGAGCTTATATCTTTAAAATATATATATTATATACATGTAAATATGGATATATGAAAAATATGTTAAAGTACATGTGGGTACTCAAATGAAAGCTCTTGATGAGTGTAACATCGGGTTAGGCTTACATCTTAAAAAATGTCAATATTTAAGAAAGTACAGAGTAATTTAACAAAAATCCTTATTTATTAACGCAAAATTAAAATTTTTTTAATTCACAAGTCACGACAGTCTCATAGTGACTGCAAGGTTACCAGTAACATTGAAGAAAATGAAGATTTATGTAAGTTTTTAAAATTTAATATAGTACAAGTAAAATTACCAAAGTTTATTAAATTAAAATCTACGATACTAATTAAATTTAAGTTTCAATTTTTCAATCTAAAAAAATTTTTTTATTTTTACTTTTTAATGAGTATAATTTCTAAAAAAATACTTGATAAATTCGTCGATAAAATTTATTAATAAAATTTTATTTTCTGCCCTCCGGCCGGAAAGTGGCAACTTTCTGGCCGCTGCGCTAAACAAAGTTGCCACATTCCGGCTACGTCGAGCAGAAAAATAGTATACACACCTTGGCCAGTAAAAAGTAAAGCCTCAGACCACATGTTTGTCAACCTCGGCTTCGCCTCGGCCAACAATTACATGTGGTCTGAGACTTTTCTTATTTTACTGGCCTAGGTATGTAATATACTATATTATCAAAGTTTTATTATAAAATATGAGTACTGATGGGACCGGTTTGAATCTAATCTGCTCCAAAAATAAAAAATTAAAAAACTTTTTACTTTTACAACAATTAAAAATTTTTAATTGATATGAACAATTATATTTCTATAAATTAAAATGTATTTTTTAATAAAAAAAAAAAAAATTAATTTATAATAATTCCCAGCTGACCATGTGTTTAATATAAAAGTTGCACGATAGTGATTTTCATTATTATTTTAAAAATATAAAAGCAATTACTTAATATACTAACAAATTATTTAAAGAAGAAAATTGGAAAAATTAAATTAAAAAATAATAACAATAACAACTAATTTACTTACTTTAAGAATGATGAAAATAAAACTTGATTTTCTTGAGACATTTAAAAAAAATCAAGAAACACAATTAATACGTCCTGCAATAGGATAATAATTAAATTAATAAAATTTATCAGAATAAACTCGTAAATAAATTATTAACCAAAAATTTACCGCTCTTCTCATTGAGGTTAGACTTTAGAAACTTGCCGCTGGTATAAAGTTATATTTCACATCTTGATAAAAATATATTTCTGTAATCGATAATTATAGTCCGATATTTACCACTTGATTAAATATATTAATTATTTTATTATAAATATGACATATTATATTTATTTACAAACAAAATCGTACTGCTCAGAAAATATTACGGCTGTGAAAAAACTACCCCTTCTCCGGTTATATGTGTTGTGAGGATAAATTGTGAATAAAACGGAAGGGGGCGCTAGTGACTTTTTCCAAAAAAATGTGCAGCAAATTCAAAAAATTTTATAAATAAAAATATGAAAATTAAATTTTAAAAAATGTCACTTGTAAAAAACTTCAAAAACTGTAAGTGAAATTTTTTTAAAATATTTTTTTGTTTTAATTTAATTATTAAAAAAAAATCAAATAATTAAAAACGTCGGCTAACTTTAGTATCATATAAAAATTTAGATTTTTACACCAAAACTGAATTTAATTAAATATAAAAGCAGTAATAAAATAGTAAGTAGCTACTTTTATAAATTTTGACTTTTAAAATTTTAAATGTACTTACAAAATAATTTGATAGCTATAAAATTAATTAAGGTCTCTTATGTTGTTGTAAAATTAAAATCGACAGATTTTAATTACAAGTACTCATAAATATATACTACAAAAATAATAAACATCATAATAATATTTAAAAAAATCAAACTAAAAAGTAATTACAAAATTGACAATACGAAAATTACCGAACTTGATACTTTTTACACGCGGTTTATTTTTATTTTGTTTACACATATACAAAGATTCTTGTTTCAATTATTTGTTCATTTAGGCTCAAAACCAAATACCTTGGCGGCAGCTATTTTTATAAATAAAAATGAAAACAAACAATTGAGTAGCCTACATTCTTAAAAACAAAAAAAAAATATATTAACGAAACGAAATGAATTATTTTTTTAAAACACTATCTATTTATTTATTTTTTTAAATGATGTTTGGTAATCAATTTTTCAACTTTTCGCGCATTCACTTAAAAAAAAATGAAAATAAAAACATTAATCGTTGATTTTGTATACAAATAACGTAGCTATAATTATATATTTAATTACATTGCAATTATATATCAATTTTTAAATTAACGTAAGATCTTGCCGATGTTACTGACCTTAGCATTAAAAAAAAAAAAAAAAAAATCACGTTTATTTGGTGTGCGTGTTACGAAAACACATACACACGATTTTTTTTAATTTAATTTATAATTTCGTTTTTATTTTTGTTATTAATTTTTTTAATTTGTTATTTTATACATAAAATTCAACCAATCAAGTTCTATTATTGTTTGTGTGTATGTGTGATAATTTAAACTACTGCTGCAGCGTAGTATTGCTATTATTTTTTTGTATTGGTTGTTGCTGTGATTGTTGTTGAATTTCGGCAGCTGCTGTATCTTTCATATGCTTCTCTACCTGTAAAATTAAAATAATCCTTTAATTTTTTTATTTCGTAACTTTTAATTGTAACTTTTAGTTGAAGCATTTCAGAATTATTTTTATAATTTAATAAATTTTAAATACAAAAATTATTTACTCAATCAAAATTTCGAAAGTAATTTTACTAATTTATAAATACCATAAAACTATTATCTTGAATTGAGTTTATTTTTAATTTAAATAAAAGTCTAATCTTGTTCTAAAATAAGAAATTTTGTCATAATTTTATTGTGAATATTTACTTTAATAACATTTATTTAGATTATCTTTGTAACAATAATTAAAATAAAGAAAAAATTTACCAGAGTAAAATCATATCCAGATCGTGTCGAAGTCTGAGAATATATATATTAGGGTGGCACAAAAAAACCGACTATTTTCTTTTTTTTGAGTCTCAAGTGAAGCAAGCCAGTTTTTGATGTTTTACGAGCCCTCTCCAAAGAGCAGCTCAAAAAAAATTTTTTAAGAGGACGCTCCAAATTTTTTTAAATTTAAAAATCGAAATTTTTTTTCTCGTTACGTCATAATTTTATAGACCAAAAAAAAATAAGTTCCTGAAAGTTTCAATTCAAAATTTTAATTTTGAAAGGTCGCTCACAAGTTTTTTTTTAATTTCAGAGTCAAAAAATGCTAATCCAATTAAATAGTCACTAATATATTAAAAAAAAATTATGAGCGACCTTTTAAAATTCATATTTTGAACTGAAACTTTCAGGAAAACCATTTTTTTTGTCAATAAAATTATGACGTAACGATAAAAAAAATAAAAAAAAAAAAAATTCGATTTTTGGCGATTTGTGAAATTTTAAAAAATTTGGAGCGACCTCTTATTTTTTTTTTAAGCTGTCCGTTGGAGAGAGCTCTTAAAACACCAAAAACTAATATTTTTCACTCGAGACTCAAAAAAAAATAGTCGGTTTTTTTGCGCCACCCTAATATATATATTATTATAAATTTTTTGATATGATTTTACTCTAGTAAATTTTTTCGTTATTTTTATTATTGTTACCAAAGATTATATAAAGTTATTGTTAAACCAAAAAGAAAAAGAAAAAATGTATCTATTGTATGAATAATGTACCTGTTGATACATTGCTATAGAAGCTTCCTTATAAACAATTTATAAATTAAATAAATAAAAAATAAATAAGATTATCTTTATAACATAATAAATTATTGATTTTAAAATATTACAAAAATTTCTTTAGTAAAATTTTTTACTTTAATAATATTTGAAACAAAATTTTGAATTTTTAAAAATGATTAATATTGTTTCATTAAAAAAAAATTTTTTCAACTCTGATTTGAAGATCTTGATTGTATTGACGAATAAGTTTCTTTAAAATTCTAGATTTTACAATTTTTAAATATTGCAAATTAAGTTCAAAATTTTTTAATTCAATTGAAAACTTTCAATTAAAAAAAAAAAAAATATATATATATTTTTCGCCGTAAAAAAAATTTTTAAATTCGAATTTAAAAAATGTTTTTAAATGAAACATTCTAATAAAATATTTGCACCAATTTAACAAAAGAAATAATTCTATTTAAGTAAACTTCTTAGCATAAAAAAACTAAACAGATATCTAGTAATTTTTAGTTCAATTTAGAAAAAATTTTTTCAAGTTCTACAAGTAAAAATAAAAAAAAACTAAAGCAATTTTTAAAAATATTTTTTGAGAACTAATTGGTTAAATAAAACAAAAAAACAGAATGCTGATTTTAGTATTATAAAAAAAATGGCTCCAACCAAAAATAAAAAAAATAAAACAAAGAAATCTACTTACAACTTTTCTAACATGTAAATAAGGTTTAGACTCGGTATTACCATGGACATTATCAACCTTGTAAGGTGGTCTAATGGTAACATTATCCCATACAACAATATCTTGACCAGACCACGTAATTTCCTGTATTGTTTTAGCAATAGCTATAAAAAGTTTTTGTCCCTCTGGTGAAACTCCGGCCTGCAGAGCTTTTACCATCCGTTTTTTTTCTTCAACTTGATTACGCACACGTGTGTTTAGCCTCTGTAAATTAAGACTTTGTGGTGGCTCTGTTGTTGTCGGACTAACTTCTCTTTTGACTTGCACATCTGATACCAATGATAAATTAACTATATTTACATCATGCACAGATGGTCTCCCAGAAGATGATGGGCATTCTGAGTAACAAGCTAAGGAAGTTTAAGTTCTGTGACTTATAAACTACAACTTACAATTTCTTAATAACTAAAAATTAACAACAAAATTAAATAATTATAATAAAAAAATTTTAACAATTAATCGCTGTGTATGTCAAATATTTTAAATTTACATTCTGACACATGCAATTATACATTACATACACAATCAGACATTGGTATACACACGGTTAATTATTAGAGTTGTTGGTGCTTAAATATTACACTTTTAAGTATTGTTTTTTAAAAAAAGGATACTCAGTATTAGCATTTTAGTTTGTGGATCGAATGCCAAAACTTCACCTTCAATATCTTTTTTATAACAAGTTTTACATGCCACTGTACTTCCAATGCTAAACCAGTCGCTTACGCCAGCCATTTTTCGTATGTATGTTTTGCTCTCTGATATATATAGCAAATAACTCTTCGGAGTAGTTTCTAATAATGTGTATAAACATAAGCGTTGTTTTCATGGGGCTGAAACGCTACTAACAGTGCGGGCAGCCTGGCAGCGGGGGGTAAATAGTTTACTTGCGCATGGAATTTGCGCATCCGACAATTTTTTAAAAATTTATAAATAATATGTCACTTTTATAATAAAAATAATAATATAAAAAATTTTACTTGGTAATTTTTTTTAAAATTTTTCTTGTGTAATTGTTTAGATTTTTTTTTACTACCATTAAATTTTAATTTATTAACAGTTCTAAATTTAGAGTGTTAATTCTGTACTTATTACTTGCCCAGGATTTTTTTTTCTTGGCATGATTTTTTTTTTCTGTGAAAATATGATTTTTTATTAGGAAAATGTTTTTATCTGAAATTATAAAAAAATGTTTTTTTTTTAAATAACTTCAATAATTTTTTGATGTTTTTTTTAAATAAATTTTTACTGTATTGAAAAAAAAAAATGAAAATTAAGTTAGCCGACATTTAAAAATTTTTAGAATTTTTTTTTATTGAAAAAATGATTACAAAAAAATTAAAAAAAAATTTTCACTTGTAAATAATTTAAAAAACTATAAGTGCAATTTTTAAAAAATATTTTTTTGTTCTAATTTAATAAATGAAGCAAAATCAAAAAATTAAAAATGTCTAACTTTAGTATTATAAAAAAAAACTTTTTAATGAAATTATTTTTTTTTATATTTGAAGAAATTTTAGAAATTTTTTTATTTTGCTTTCAAATTTTTTTCAAATTTAGAAAAAATTTTTTCTAAGCAGCTAACTTCATATCATAAAAATTGTCAGATTCCCGCTAATTTATCATGTGTTCTACATAAAGTTCAAGTATACATTTCTATAGCTAGCATTATTTATACAAAAACTTCGAATTTTATAAAGTAATTTAAATATTTTTTTTTTAAAATCAGAAGATCAACGTATGAATAGTAAGTAAATTTTAATTTACCTAACATTTTTATTAAAAATCCATACTAAAATAAATTTTTTCAGATTTTTCCAAAGTAAGGTTATACAAGTAAGTAATCAAACAAACAACAACAATCACCAATTAATAACAACAATGGCATCTTGCACAGATCGACTAAAATTAAACGAGCATGAACTATTTAAATCCCTAAAAAATGATTTACCAAAAAGCGTTAAAGAGACACACAATATCATGGAGATCCGCGAGAATGTAATGTACATTTGGAATGCCGACAAATGCTGCTTATACGTAGTGATAATCGACGACAATTTCAACCACTCATCAGCGTACCAAGTATTCCAGCTAACAGACCCTCCAATTTTCGAGGTAACATCAATATCAATAAACGAAGTGTCCTCACAATTAGCACTTTGGGGAAGTTTAGGAATCGTCGTGGTAGAGCTACCTCGCCGGTGGGGCAAGAACAATTTATTCCAAGGCGGAAAGAAATCAATTTCTTGCCTGAATCACAACCTGAGCCACTTAACATCTCACTTGTCATCATCAAAAGTAAATCGCGTGCGCTGGCACCCAGGTTCGCCAAATGACTCACACCTGCTTGTTTTAACTTCAGATAATTCGTTCCAACTGTTCGAGTGCCCGCTGGGCCAAAAACCAAAACTAATTAAAAACTGGAAAGTTGGACCCACTCCATTATCATCTAGCTCTAGCGGGTTCACGATAATTGAATCGCTGGGTGAAACTGCGATTGATTTTGACTTTTCAACCTCCTCAATTTCCCTGGACAAACAGAGAAGGAATTTTGATAAAGAAACCGCTCACTGGAGTGACATCGAATGGCCGATTTTAGTTCTTAGAGGCGATGGATCAGTGCTTTTGATCCATGGAGACACTTTATCGAATTCAAGTACTAAACCATTGGTCCAAGGTGCGTTGTCTATCTATCCTTCGTCATACGACAACTACGGAGTTGATTCCTGCTCGATAATTTGCCTGCAAACGACTCCTCCGGTGGTGGCAATCGCAACCTCTTCTGGTTTAATTCACCACGCGATTTTATTGCGAGATACTTCCAGTACAACGAACAATAATTTTATATCCAACAATACTTACACCGTCGACAGCCAAGTGAGCATTTCAACGGAAGATCAGGAACAAAGACAGTTTAATAGAAAATCTTGGTCAGAGTATGGTTCTAATTATAGTCTTCATACACCTGATGATGGTTTGTTTGTCTTTGAGACAATTGAAATGCAGTTGGGGTTGCTGTATAATGACAGTGATAAAAAATACAGCTGCTTGATAAACTTGCATAGAGACCGGGGTAACAAGGGTCGGTATTTTTGCACACACAATGCTGGTGTTCATATGATAACATTGCCGGCTGTATCGCAGTTGATGGATTACTTGAATTGTCCTGAAGACAACATTGATCTGTACTTACCAACTTCAATTAAACCATCGACGTCGCAATATTTAATTTGCACGCGGACGAAGCACACTGGAGACGATGAAGCGACTCCAGTTCAAGGATTTGGATTGCTGCAACAGCCATCGCCTATTGTGGTTGCTCTACTGTACAACGGAGTTGTCGTTAATTTTTCTGTTATAGATTTTGATTGCCCCTCGGCGATTGACAGCGACGAACCGGTTGTTAATTTTAACAAAGTTATCACTCGGGAATCTTTTGAGAACCATGTAAGAAATTTGTTGAAGCATGATACGATTTCGCAACCTATTACTAAGTTGAATGTTAGTTCTTCTTTGAATGGAAAAGAATGCTTTGAGCTGCTGGACCAGGCGACCAATGTCCTGCGCAGTAATTATTTTGTGAAGCATGACCGTGTTAGGAATGAAATTAGCAAGAAAGTACGCGCTTTAAAGGCTTTGAAAATTCATCAGATTAATGAGTTGAATGATTTGATGCTTATAAAAGCTGAATTGCACTCCAAGGCTCAGCATCTCGCGGAACGGTATGAAGATATTAAGGAGCATCAGGAAGAACTGACGAGAAGGTCTAGAGAAGTTTTGAGAAGGATTAATCACAAGGAATTGACGACTGCTGAGAGGACCGAAGCGATGAAATTGAAGGAACTTAATGGACAAGTTGAGGAATTCAAAGGGAAATTCGAGAGGTTGAAGAGCAAAGCTGATAGTCAGATGATGAAAAATGAGTCGGTTGATAAGAGCAGTATGAATAATGGCGGTGGTGTTAAGAAAGCTCAGTTGATTTTGGGGGAAAAACAGGAACAAGTTATTAAGAGTAATTTGAAGAAAATGGATATTACTCTCAAGGATATGATTGGGCAGATTAAAGTGCTTGAAGATAATTTAGAAGTTTGAAGTAATTTATGTTTAGTTTTTTGGATTTTTGAAATTAAATGTATAATGTAATAATTATAGATATTAAATTTGTATTAAAATCTTGAAAAATTGTAATTTTTTTTTTATTCTAGAAAATTTAATAAATTTTTTTGTAGTTTTTAAAATTTAGGGATTTTTTATTTTATAATTTTTTATGATACTGAAATTAACAGACATTGGTCAATTTTTTGGATTTTTATAATAATAAAATTTTAATGAAAAAAATTTTAATAAAAAAATTTCAAATTTAGAAATTAATAAAGATAACAAGTTGAAATTTTTTATAATTTACTTGTAAAAAAAATTTTTTAATTTCAGATGACTGTTTACTTTACTATCAGAATTTTTTAGATTTTATTTTTATTTTATAATTTTTTATGATACTGAAGTTAACAGACATCTGTGAATTTTTTAGATTTTTATAACAATCAAATTTTAATGAAAAAAATTTAAATAAAAAAATTATATATTTAGAAATTAAAAAAGATTACAAGTAGAAATTTTTTATAATTGACTTTTAAAAAAAATTTTTAATTTCAGATGACTATTTATTTCACTATCAGAATTTTTTAGTTACTTTGTCTTATGTAATTAATTTTCATATTTTATTTATAATTCGTTCAAAATTAAAATTTTTCCCGCTCAAACTGAAAACTCAAGGCGCCATCTTTTTTGTTATTTTAGGTTATATTTATTCTATATAAGTCTCACACGTGATTGTGTTTCCACTCAAAAATTATTTTTTAATAATATTGTTAAGTGAGATATAGAAATAATTTAAATTAATCATGAGGCGATTAACTGAAGATAGAACAAAATTAGTTTTTGAAAAACTAGCAAAATAGTAAGTATTTTAATTACTCTAACATAAATTATAATAATTAATTTACATTCTTACATTACTAACTTATTTTTTATTTGTTAACAGTATTGGAGATAATGTTAAAATTTTAGTGGACCGGCCAGACGGAATTTATTGCTTCAGAGAAAAAAAAGGCCGCGTTTATTATGTCTCGGAAAAAATATTAGCACTCGCTGCGACTGTTGCACCTGATAACCTTGTGAGTTTTGGAACTTGCATTGGTAAATTCACGAAATCAGGAAAATTTATGCTCCATATTACCGCGTTGCATTATTTAGCTCCTTATGCACAGGTAATTATTATTATTATTATTATGATTTATGTATTTTTTTTCTAAATAATGATACTAAAATTAGCTATCTGATGGTTTTTAGAATTTTGACAATAAAAATATAAAAAATAATGATACTTGAAGTGAGCGATATCTGATAATTTTTAGATTTTTTTAACAAATTAATTATATCAAGAAAAATTTATTGAAAAAATTTCAGCTATAGAAGATCTAAAAAATTAAAAATGCAATTTTTTAAAAATAATTTTCTTGACCTCGTTTATTTTTAAAGAAAAATCAAAGAATTGTCACGTGTCTGCTAGTTTAAGGATCATAAACAGGGTCGAGGTTTTTTCCACAATTTACAAATAAATGGTTTAAATTTTTGATATTACGGTAAAAATATTGGTAGTATAAAAAATTTTTCAGATAAAAGTTGTAGAAAACTTATTTTTATACAAAAAATTTCTCTTATAATTTTTTTATACCACCTATATTTTCACCGTAATTCCAAAATTAAAATTCGTAATGAATCAATCAAATTTTTGCTAATTTTGAAAATTTTAATTTTAAAATTATGGCTTTCTTATTGGTCCTAAGAAAAAATCTTTGGAATCATTTTTTGTAGAAAATTTAATTTCTCACAACTTTTATCCAGAAAAATATTTTTCATAAACATCCAAAAAATGATAGAACTTTACTAATTTTAGCTACATAATTGAAAATTTTATTTTATTGGCTGACTAATTTTGATAAATTTTTGCAGCACAAAATTTGGTTGAAACCAGCAGCAGAGCAGCAGTTCCTGTACGGTCATAATATTACAAAAGGTGGCTTGGGAAAAATAACTGAAAATACTCCTCATCATCAGGGAGTTGTTATATATTCTATGAATGATGTACCTTTGGTAAGAATTTTTAATTTATTAAAAACTGAAATGTCTTGCGACAAAAATATTTTTCAAATTCAAAAATTTGTAACAATTTTTTTTTCTTTTTAAGGGTTTTGGTGTGACTTCTAAAAGTAGCAATGAAATTAGCAACGCTGATCCTATTTCTATTGTGTGCTATCACCAGTCGGATATTGGGGAATATATTCGTTCTGAAGACAATTTATTATAAGTTATTTTTCAAATAAAAAACATTTTTTATTCAATACCTACTTGTAAATAAAATTTCAACTCTGAAAAAAAAATTAAACACTATTTTTTTTTTTTTTTTTTAATTTAATACTCTTCTAATTAGGCTAAAACTTGATAAATTCAATTTGACGTAAAAATTAAATTAAAAAAAAAAAAAAAAATGTTTAAACTTAAATAAATCGTAAAGCAACCTTGCAGTCACTATGTGACTTCCGTGACTAGTGAACTATAAATAAATAAAATTTTGCTTTATTAAATAATGACTTTTGTTAAATTACACTGTACTTTCTTAATTATTGAAGTTTTCAAAGATATAAGCTCATCCCAATGTTACACTTATCAAGAGCTTTCATTTGAGTACCCACATGCATTTTTGATATATTTTTCATACATACATATATATAATATATATAAATATATGAAAAAATGATGTGGGTAATTAAATGAACGGTCTTGATGAGTGTAACATCGGGATGAGCTTATATCTTTAAAAATGTCAATAGTTCACAAGATACTAGGTCATTTCTTAATTATGTGTCTAGAGATAGAGCATTTTCGAATGCAGCCTAAATACTTATCATCATAAATTGACTATTGGTAAGAATGATATGAAACCATTAAAAGGCACAACTCCAGGTCAAGGCTTTTCTAACGATACCAAATTTAACCATAAAAACCCATTTTATTATATAAAATACACTGACCACAAAATTTTCCTTATTCTTTTAATAATATAGATTATTTTTTATTTCATCAAGTAATAATTGAAAAACTCAACTGTTGAAACAAATTATTTTTTTTTTTTGATAATTCCATTTAATAATTCAATAATTAATTAAACTAAAACGTCGATAAAAAATATAGGTAAGTAGACAAATAAAAAAATGTGATAGTTAAATTTGTATAATATTTTATTATGAAATCACACACAGTTAATCATTATTACATATCATTTGAATTCGGACATAATTTACATTGCATTTGATATAATCAAGTGTAAATGTGTGATTAAAAAAAAGTTAATTATGTTAATATGTTCAATTATTTATATTAAATATAAATTATAATAAAATTCATTAATAAATGTGTACATCTGTTGCTAATGAGTACGTTTTAACGCAATCATGATCACTAATTTTACTTGTCATACAATAATTATAATCAATAAACTAATATAATTAGTGTGTAAAACACTATCAACTCCCAAGCATTTATCCAGCAAATAAAAATTAAAAAATTAAAAATTAATCAATAGCAAGAAAATTTAATTAAAAAATTAAAATCGTAAAAAGCCCCCCCAAAGTATAATATAATATAATATAAACTATTCTACGACGTGTAAAAATTATCTGTCATCCATGCGTGTAATATTTACATTAATTTACAAGCCTTTACACCAGAGGATAATTCATTATTTATTACCAATTATATCATACCGTCTACTTGATCAATGATAAATCCATTAATTATTTAAAAAATGCACGCGTACATCAAATAATTGCACACGCGCCGGATTTTCAATTTACTCATTAGACAATTTAAAAATAATAGTTATATAAACTAATATATATATATATATTTATATATAATCTTGTATTTCCTCCATTATTAATAAAAATTCTAAGTAATTAAATAAAATTATAATGTCCTTCATCACTCGCTATTAAGAGCTGATTTGTTAATTTTAACTTCTTTACTTTTGTTATTTGATTCATCTAACTCTGTGGTTTTCTTTTCCTTATCACCAGCTTCATTCGTCTCCTCCTTATCATTACTCGCCACAGCAGCCTTGGTATCATCCTTAACCGAATTAGTATCTTTTGCCGTTTGTTCTTCCTTTTTATCAGCAGACTCAGAAGCAGCAGAAGCGCTAGTAGTTGACGTAGAACTTCCATTAACCTTCAACTCTTCCTTGACTTCTTCTTTACTTTCATTATCATTTTTTTTCTCTTCCTCTTCATCTTTTTTAAGCCTCTTGATCGGTTTCTTCTCATCCTTAATCTTTTTCTTGGCTTTGTTTATTTCTTCTTCAGCTTTGTCACCCTCTGGGTTAGTTTGTTCCTTAACCTCTTCAGTTTTATCATGATCTTTGTCTTTATTATTACCTTTATCCTCTACCTTATCTTCCTTTCTTTCATCTTTATCCTTATCCTTATCTTTGTCTTTATCTTCTTTCTTCATTTCTTCTTTACCATCAGTTTTACCTTTACTACTACTGTCACAAGGCACATTTTTACTCCCACTCTGACCACTCTTAGCGTCTGACCCTTTGGTAGGCGAGCTTTTCGACAAATCCGAGGCATAATTACTACTCGAGCTGGTACTTACACTACTGCTAGAAGTAGTAGTAACTGTTGAAACAGTAGAAACCGCAGTAGAAAGATTGAACGCACTATTTTCAGTAGTTTTTATTAAATGACCGATTTCTCTGTTGGACTCAGTCTTAGCAGAGTTGAAGCTCTGTGAATTAGCAACAGCAGTAGTTTTTGATGTCTTGCTCGAAGTTGAGGTTAGCGAAGATGAAGAAGCAGTGGTGAAGTTATTAATATTAGGCAATATTCTCTGAATAGCCACCGACTGACTCGCTAATCCTTGCTGAGAATAAGTTACAGTGGTGGTGTGTGGTATGTAACTGGTGGTCCGTTGAAAGAACTTGCTAATTGCTGGTGGTAAGCTGCTGTGGAACGCCGCGTTAGGTGGCGCTGCTGGCAAGCAGCTCAAATTAGTCCTTATCAAGGGATTTGTTGAGAACCTAACCAAGTCAGCGTTTGAATATTGCGGTGGTGGTTGCACTGAGGGATGAAAATGAGTGTAAATTAATCGTGGATTTGTATTTGGTGTCTGTGAAGGTATAAATGGACTAGTTGATAATAAATTAACTGGAGAATTACGTGGTGACAAAGGAGTATTAATACCAGTGGTATTACTACCAGCGGTACTACCACTAGCGCCACCGCGTGAAAACGGGGTGTTTTGGTAACTACTCGATGTATTTGGTGAATAAGGCGGCGGTGTTATTATCGGAGAATTAGTATTAGCACGAGATGTTATCGTTATAGGTGACAGTGTCTTGGGATCTATTTTAGTCATACTTAATCCGCTGGAATTTAACTTTGTGTTTCCAGTTGCTGACAAAGAAGACGATGAATCTTTGTCTTTAGACTCGATATTGTACATCGGCTTGACTCCAGACGCAGGGTTGCCCAAAAATCTAGGTACGTTTCGCATTTTGAATATCTTCGCCGGTTTAGATGCTATTGATTTACCGTCACTTTGTTCCGAGCCAGCATTAATCGCCTGCGTTTGGTTCTGCATTTCCTTAGCAGCTTGATTCTTCGCAGCAACGTAGTTATTTTTTGATAATGAAGGATTCCATGATTTGGGTGGTTCGCGGAGTGTTTTGTAGTTACTCATCGAACTGGTTCCACTGCCACTATTGCTGTTTCCAGTATTGTTCTTCGACGTAGCTCTCTTGCGCTGAAAACTCGTATTTTGTTGCTGAGTTGAAGTTGCGGTGATAACCATAGAAGAAGCTGGTGTTATGGTGATAGATGACGTGGTAGGCGTAAGATTAGTACTAGGCGACGTGGATGTTGTTGTAGTCACAGTGATACTCGGCGTAGACAGTGACATTTTTAAATAATCTCTCGAATAGGTCGTACTACCACTGCCTGAATTGTTCCTTAATTCAGATACTGACAAGCTTGGTGTGTAAATTGGTATATTGGGTATATTAGCGATATGCTTTATCAGCGCATTGGTGTTGATATCATTAGTATTAGTGGATGACATTGATTTCTTGGTAATCTTAAGCAAATCCGGAATCTCAGGACGTGATTTTGTTTCTAGTCTGCTATTTTTCTCCTTGGTATTTTCACCGATTTTAGCACAAATATCATTTATTTTCGAGCCTGAAGGCGATGAAGATGACGAAGGAGTTGCTCCCGTAGACGCAGACGATGTGTTTGTTGACGAAGCAGCGGCATTACCACCAATTTTAGCGCATATCTCATTGAGATTTGTTCCTTTGGTAAGTATCTCTGTCTTACGAACCGTCGGCTTCATCAGGGCTATTGGTATCGCATCGGGACAAGGGGGCACTATTATCGTGCTTCCTCCACTTTGATTTATATTATTAATACTATTACTACTACTATTACTATTTATTTTACTTGAATTACTATTTACATCGTTGCTTTTGTTATTGCATGGACTCGTGTAAATTGGAGTCTTACCTCCACTTCCAGAGCTCGAAGACGATGTCGTCGTAGAGGCTGTTGTTATTGAATAAGTGACAGTAGGAGTGTGCAGCGGCGATTCGTTTGGTTTCGTACCCGATTTTTTAGCGTTAGACACTAAATCTTGAACAGTGTACGGAAAAAGAGGGTGTGAACTTTTCTGGGCGTGCGTACTCGCTTCAGCGCTAGCTTCATTTGATGAATTTTGCCGTGAATTTTTTCCACTCGCCACAGTACAAATAGAAGAAAATGAAGAAGTGCAAGTTGTTGTCGTTATTGTTAATCCAGATCTTTGATTATAATTCACATCATTCTTGCGCTTGTTCGCAGGAGGTTCCTTGTCCCCGTCTGTATTTTTTTGGGGAGGAAACGATACCAGAGTAAACGTCAGAGGCTTCGTATTGGTCGTCGTAGGTGTGCTTGAACTTGCAGCTCCACGATTTTTCTCACCAGCTTTTGCTTTTTGGCCATCGGTCAACAATCGCGCGTCTGATTTTTTTAGCAATTTATTTTCAGTAATCGTAACTTTAGACTTGTCTTTTGGTGTTCTTTTGGAGTAGGTGTTGTTAACCTGGCCTACTTTCGGCTGGAATTGTAATTTAACACTCAGCGCATCTATTTTAGAACCACCAGCAGTTGTAGAAGCTGCTTCGCTTTTGTCATTTTTATTCTTGTCTTTCTCTGGCTTAACAGATGCTTCATTGTTGTTGGGTTTGCTGTTAGATTCTTCCGAGGATTTATCCTTGGGCTTATCCTCGTTCTTAATTTTGGAATTCGAGTCTACAGCCGGTTCCGCCTTGACTGAATTTTTATTCTGGGAATCACTAGCACGCGAGTAAGTAGCAGATCCTGATTTAGACAATTTTTTCAAATCCGAATTGGTGATAACTGTGACACTAGTTTCTCCAGTTTCGGAAATTTTTAGCTGTACTTCCTTCCATTCGTCCTTTTTGCTCTCGCTCTTGATAGAATCTTTACTCGTCGGTGAGGTTGACGCGCCAGACGAAGTTGATGTTGACGTCGAAGACGTCGATGTGGGGACAAAGTCAATTCCAGTTTTAGAAAGTGACTCGCGGTACTCAACATTGTCGTCGGAGAGCTTCAGACGCTTGGGCGATGATTCGAATATGCGGTAGCTCAAATGCAAAGGGACTTTTCGTCTCCAGTGGTAGATATACATCACGTCCATCAGGGTGTAATTACCGCACAGCGACTCCTCTTTGTACATTATGTCCACGCGATGCACGTCGCTAAGACCGTTTTTTGCGCGGATTAGTTTTTGCAAATGAAACACTGTTACTGCTGCGGGACAGCGCAGGTACCGTCGCGGCAAGGTTTCATTCGACCCGATACCAGTTGCTGACCCCGCGCTTGATGATATTGACGCTGCTGTTAATTCTTTTGTTTCGTTCAGAGGTATCACTACTCCAACGCCTGCGGTGTCGGTGTAATTAGGATTGTAATACTCTAGCGATAGAGTCAGCACTTCGTCGGGAGAGTAGATGTGAGATTCTATTGGCTCACCGCGAGCCTCCGGTGACATTGTTGATAGCTGAGCATCGGGGTGTTTTTCGTAAAATTCTCTGCGACAACGCATTTCATCTGGAAGGAAAAAATATTGTTAGCAAATATTGAGTCGAGAAAAATTATTAAAAGCTTGAGTACTAAGTTTTTATTTGGTTAAAAATTATTTCTATTTTTTTTTTGTTCTTATCAAGGAAGAAATCATAAAAAAAAATTTAATTAATTTAAAATTTAAGATTTTGTTAAAATTTAATAATTAAATTATAGATTAAAAGTTTTGGTACAATTTTAATAGATTTTTTGATTTAAAAAAAAAAATTTTTTAATCTAATTAATCTAGAAAAATTTATTATACTGAAGTATCAATTTATGACATTCTAATAGTGCAAAAATTTTTTCCGCAATTTCAAAATGACAATTCATAATTAATAGTGTCAATTTTTTGATATTACAGTGAAAATATTGGTATTAGTATAAAAAAGTTATAAGAGAAATTTTTATGTAGAAAATTAAATTTCCTAAAACTTTTATCTGAATTTTTTTTTTTTTTATGATTAGGACACAAATTTCTGCCGCAATTTCAAAATAATTCATAATTAATAGTTCAAATTTTTGATATTACAGTGAAAATATTGGGAGTATAAAAAATTTTCTGGATAAAAGTTGAGAGAAATTAAATTTTCTATAAAAAATGTTTCTAAGGATTTTTTTTCAGAACCAATAAGAAAGACATAATTTTCAAATTAAGATTTATAAAATTAGCAAAAATTTGATTAATCCATTATGAATCTTAATTTTAGAAATACCGTGAAAATATAGGTGGTATAAAAAAATTATGAAACGCTTTTTGTAGAAAATTAAATTTCCTAAAACTTTTATCTACAAAAAAAATTTTTAGACTACCAATATTTCCATCGTTATATAAAAAATTTATTAATTTATTTATTTATGTAAATAAACGCCAATCGGCATTATACATCTAATAACTAGTTTTTAATTCTTTAAATTATAAATTATAAATTTAAACCATTAATTTGTAAATCGCGGTAAAAATCTTGGTCCTACTAATAAATTAATTTCCTTCAAAAATATTGTATTAAATTATATAATTATATTTTTTATCTTTAATCAAGATTATCCTTTTAATTTTAACTTTATTGAATCAAGCTTGATAAAATTTTATTACTATCAAAATTATTTATAATTTAAATTTTATTTGTTAGCAAAATTTTTAACCTAAAAACAATTTTGTACCAGTTAAAAAAATATCGCAAGAAAAAATTTTTTTAAGCGATTAGTGTTCCCTCCCTAAGATTTTCTAGCTGTGTCTCAATTTTTGTTTCTAACAAGAGAAAAAAAGATGATCTGGTATATATTAGGGACGGAGCACTGTACTACTTTTAACCCTACAATTTTTCCAATAAACTAAATAATTCTTCAAACCCCGTTATCACCTATTCGGTCATTTTCATGCTAGTATAAATCTAATTTTCAAGTGGATGGAAATTTCCATCTTCACTAACAATTTGAGACAATTCGTTTTCGGATAGTTAGGTCGATAGGTGATAACGGGGTTTGAAGAATTAAATAGAATCACGGTTGATAAAATTAATAAAAAACTAAATAATTTTTAAAAATAAAAAATAAACAATATTTACTTTGATAACATCCGGGCACCAACTTGTAAACAATATCCTGTAATGTATGATCAGGTCTTATGTTAAGTAACGGTTTACTTTTATGTACTTGGACCTCACATATTGGACAATATTTATTACTCTCCAAATACTTGACAATACAGCTGCGGCAAACTAAAAAAAAAAAAAAAAAAAAACATAAATTATAACCACGAATTGCGTGTAAATTTAATAAGTACTCCAAAACACAAAATAAGTAAATTTAAAATACATACACGAGTGTAAGCATTCAATAATTGTTGTAGCATCGATAAAATACCCATTACACAATTTACATGTCAACTGGTCATTTAAATTTGCTAAGCGAATTCTTCCACTGCCACCGCCGTCACCGCCTCCACTTTGTCCGGACATTCTATAAATAAAAACCACAAAATTAATTAATTGAATTATAACTTATAAATTAATTACTCCAAAATTAATTATCGTATACTCACATGAATGTTTATTACTAAAAAATTTGTTTACAATTTAACAAATCTTCTCATGATCTTTAAATTAATGACACACATTTGTACTTATAAATTTAAAACAATAATAGTGTTTTAAACTTTTTCAATTGTTTATGTACAAATCCAATAATAATAGACACTATTATCACGGTGAAGAGGTGTAGTGCTGTTATGATAACATTGTAGAGGAAAATAATAATAATAAAAGTAATAAAAGAGGATAAATAAGTGATAACACTTGAAAACTACTTGTTAAGCACCTCAATCACAATTAAAATAATAATAGACGTATGTGTATTATATTTATGGAGTCACCGCTTGAAAATTTTTTTTTTCATCGCTCAGCTCTACGTCATGCGCGTTAAAAATTTTTTAATGCTAAACATTATTGTAATAATTATTGTAGCTCTGTTATTATTGTTTCAATTATTAAATACTATCACTCAAGGTTGTCAATGTGGATTGTTGTTCATATTTACGTAAAAACTAACGATATTGTAATGATCGAGAAGTAATATGAGTCAAAGAGTTTATGTTTTCTCGATTATGAGAAATTTATTATGGACACTAAAAAACTCAGTACTATATACGGTGAACCAGAGCGATATACAAAATGGCGGATAAACAATATGTTTTAATGTTGGTAGAAGGCGCTCGAGGAAAACGAGGACCTCTAGTTGATAAAGAAGTTAATAATTTTTGGTGTTGCCAAAAAAATTATTTGGCGCAACTTGATAATTTTTTTTTACCCCATACTCTTCTATTACGCTACTTTTGCTATTTGATTAGTCTGATAATTAACGATACTTAAATTAGCCGACGTCCAAGAATTTATAATAATAAAGTTAGCCGACATTTTTAATTTTTTGATTTTGCTTCATTTATTAAATTAGACTTAAAAAATGTTTTTTTAAAATTGCACTTACAGTTTTTCAAATTTTCTACATGTCAAATTTTTTTTTTTAATTGTTTGTAATAATTTTTTTCAATAAAAAAAATTATAATAATTTTTAGATGTCAGCTAACTTAACTTTCATCAAGAAGTTTTTTTTTTTTTTTTATTTTTAATCAATACATATAAAAATTTTTAGATATCGGGTAATTTAATTTTGAATGAAAATTAAGTTAGCTGACGTATAAAAATTTTTAGAATTTTTTTTTATTGAAAAAATGATTACAAAAAAATAAAAAAAAAATTTTCACTTGAAAAAAACTTCAAAAACTGTAAGTGAAATTTTTAAAAAATACTTTTTTGTTCTAATTTAATTATTAAAAATAAAATCAAAAAATTAAAAACGTCGGCTAACTTTAGTATCATAGTTGTTGATACTTGCAATTTTATTTTAATTAAAAAAAACAATAACATTTAAGTTAGCAGTCACTTAACAATTTTTTAATTTTATTTAACAAAAAAATTTGTCGCAAAAAATTATTTTTAAAAAATTGCATTTTTTATTTCTTTAAATTTTCACATGTCAATTTTTTTTATAATTTTTTTTTGTCATAATTTATTTGTTATAGAATTTTTAAAATTATTAAATATATGCTAAATTAATTTTCATAAAAAAAAACAAATCAATTACATATATGATATTAATAAATATAATTTTTGAATTATAAATTTTAAGATAATTGATTTTTTGGGACCAATAATTTTGATTTTATTTTTTTAACTAGAATAAAATTGCAAGTATCAAACAACTAGGCTAGTGTCAATTAATGGGTCTTTTACCTTATATAAATTCATAGAAAAAAAACTAATTTTGAAAAATTAATTTACTAGATATTTGATAACTTTAAAAAATTTTTTAATAAATAAATCATGGCAAAAAAATGAAAAAAAATAATTGACATGTAGAATTTAAAAAAAATTAACAATGCAATTTTTTTTAAATAATTTAAAAAATAGAAAAATTTAATCAGTGCAAACTTATCAGATAGCTGAATGTCATCATTTTTACAGGCATAAATTGAATAAATGTAAAGAAAAAATTTTATAATCATAAAATTAAAATTAAAAGACACTCGAAATTTTTTTTTAACAAGTAAAATATGATAAAGAAAACAAAAAAAATTTTACTGCTAGAAATTTGAAGAAAACTATAAATGTAATTTCTTAAAAATATTTTCTTAATACTAATTTATTTTCAAACGAAAAATGGTCAGATAGCTACTGATTGCAGATCATAAATAAAAATACTTAAAAAAAAAAAAAAATACATTAAAAAATTCAAAGATAAAATATCCAATATAAATTTACTGCAGAAGATTGAAAGTCTCATTTATACACAAATTTTTTTTTATTTTTATTTCTTTTTAATCTAAGATTAATATATAAAACTTCATATCCTTTCAGCATTAAATTTAATAATCATAAAAGTATAAAAGAAAGAAGGTATCAATCAAAATTACTTATATTATACTATATAACTAATTACAAAATATACAGTAAAAATTACAAGATAATTATCAAATTATTGTTCACTCTGTGTGACATTATTTTAAGGCCTTATCTCCACAATTACGTTGCACTAATTTCTCCATGTGCCTTACAATGTCTTTTATTTTGTAAACTAACTCATGTAATCCTTCAATTGTACACGTAAAATCAACATCACTTATCGTGCCGCCTCTTTTGGTCGTTAATTTAATGTGATATATGCAATTATTCATATAACTATTGTTGCTTGTCTGCAAAAAAAATTAATATTAAAAATTATAACATTATTAATAAAATTATCAAATATCTGCTGAATTAATTTTCACTTTTATTTTTCAGTATTTTTCTAATTCTAATTTAATTAATAAAAATCATTAAAACTCTGATGATTTCAGTTTAATAATTTTACCTTCAAACAATAGTCTAATCGCCAACTAATATCAACAATACACGGATGACTGTCTCCAATACTACTCAAATGCAGTACCATAGGAGTTTTTATTTGTTTATAATAAACCTGGCATAATTTTTGTATCTGTGTGTCATTGAATATTCCAGTTGTTTGCAAATAATCTGACAAATTTTCGGGATCATAGTTATTTCTCGCAGCTTCTTTGATAATACTAATGTAATCGGAGTAAATAGCTTTACATAGTTCTGGTTTTGTATCACTGCTCCAGGACAATTCTGTAAAAAAAAAAAATTAATAATTATTTTTTTCCTACAATGAAATAATTATAGTAATAAATAATAATACTAAAGTTAGCCGACGATTTTAATTTTTTGATTTTTTTTTTAATAAGTAAATTAGAACAAAAAAATATTTTTAAAAAATTGCACTTACAGTTTTTAATGTTTTTTACAAGTGAAAATTTTTTTTTATTTTTTTTAATCATTTTTTCAATAAAAAAAAATTCTAAAAATTTTTAAATGTCGGCTAACTTAATTTTCATTAATAAATAATGATACAGAAGCTAGTTGACAACTGTTAACTTTTAAAACTCATAAAAAATAAATAAGGAAAATTAAATTAGTTGAAAGCGGAAAATTTTTATAATTTTTTTATTGCAATTTAAAAAAAAATTTTTTTTCACTATAATTTTTATTAATTCAAAAAATCAAAAATTGTCAGATGTCTGCTAATTTTAGTATCATTAATGAAAAAAGCTTTAAAAAATTTCTGATAATTTTTTTTTTAATTTTCAAATGTGGAATTTTTTTTTTATAACAATTTAATTGCTATAAAATTATAAAAAAATTTCTAATGTCTGTCAACTTCAGTGTCATGATAAACAAATAATTAATTACTTACTCATTTTATCTTTTGGATTGTCAATAATGACATTCATTAACATATTATTGCAATCCGACAATAATTTATCAAATAGTTCATCACTTAATGATGTTTTTATTATACGTAAATTATTTTTCAGCGTATCTGGTAGTTCCATTATTTGAATTAAATAATTGTTTAACTTAATTTTATATACTTCAGTGTAAATTTATTTATTAAAATCATTTGTTGTTGTAGCTGTAGGGTGTAAATACTGTAAATACGATAGTTAGGTTATGCGGTACATGGGTGTGTTTACAATCATTTTTTTGGACATACTTATCTCTGTACTTATATATTTTTTTGTTCTTACAATTATTTTTTCTTTTTCATGAAATTTTGAGTAAAAAAAAGTATTTATAACATATTGCGTTTCTAATGCCAAAAAAGGTAAAATAAATTTTTTTACTCCAATCAACATAACAATTTGTTCAATGTAAAATAATCTGTAGGAAAAATGGAAAAAATTTTTTTTTCAAAATTTCTTTTTCACTATTACTATTTCAGATTTTTTTTTCTTTTAGTATATTATTAAACTTTATTATTTTCTACTAATCCTAAAATTTTTTTTCAGAGTGGTGTTTTTTCGATTTCTATTATTTTTTATTTTCAGTTGAAAAAAAATTTTTTTTTACTAGCCTTATTTCTCATAACACTATCTGAAAATTTTTTAAAGTTCTTAAAAAACTTTTAAGCTTTAGGAAAAAAAAAAAAAAGAATAAAAACAAAAAGGAAGCTTTGAATATTTTTTTTTTTTCCAAAACTAAGGTAAAGTACTTAATAGCTGCTCAAGAACTAGTACCTGCTCACTCCATGTATTTGTATATTTTTATTTGTGAACATAAATATACAAATACATGGAGTGAGCAGGTACTGGGGATTTTACCTTAATCATCGAAATAAAAATTTTTTTTAGAATAATAAGATGAAAAAAAAAGGATAACTTTGATTTCTTTTTCTCTAAAATTACACCTAAAAACAAAGAAAATTAAAAAAAAAATTGTTTTTCGTATAAACGGCGAGAACTCCAATAATTTTTTCTCGATACAAAGTGGCAGACTTAGATTAAATTCATCACATTATAATTTAAAGATTAATTTGCAATTTTTTTTTAAGCCAACGAAAATAATTGTATTGTTACAAAAAATTCTTAAAATAAGAATTTTATAAGTATACTTCGATATTTTTTAACCAAAAATCCCGTACAAAAAAAATTTTGGTTCCGGATGAATTTCCGGATGAACTTTAGATTGTGAAACAAATATGAATTTCATCTGGAATTCCAGATGAATTTCATGATGAATTTGAAACAAATAGTATATGAAACTTAATTATTTTAATTTGTGAAATAATATTCGGAGACAGTTATATTGGAATTTTTAGCTTTATTTACACTGGTTCAACATTTGCAATTCTATAACGTCTATTCGGATAAATTTTTTGGAGTAGAAGAACACAATAATACGTTATAGCTCTCATTAGAGTAAGGAAATATTTCTAATACAAAAATAAAAACATGTACAACTATGTATGTCAATTTTAATGATAGATGATTCAGCTTTGGAACTAGAAACATTTAAACAAAATTCAATAGTTAAAATACAATTACTAAAATATAAACAGGATGATTTTCTTAGTATGAAAAATGTGGTGGCCCTGAAAAGGGCCGTTTTGTTTTAATTTGTTGGGAAAAGACGGGACAAATAAATTAACCTCCAAAACCGTAAAGAGTACGGCCTTGACGTTTCAGAGCGTAGACAACATCCATAGCGGTGACAGTTTTGCGTTTAGCGTGCTCGGTATAGGTGACGGCGTCACGGATGACGTTCTCAAGAAAGACCTTGAGGACACCACGAGTCTCTTCGTAGATCAATCCGGAAATACGCTTGACTCCACCACGACGGGCCAGACGACGGATAGCTGGCTTGGTGATACCTTGGATGTTATCACGAAGGACTTTACGATGACGCTTGGCTCCTCCTTTACCCAATCCTTTTCCTCCCTTACCGCGACCAGTCATAGTTAATAATTGAGAGTTTGCACGATGTGTCTGAGACGAGAATACTGACGAGAATGAGCTCTGCCAGATTAAGTGGGGATATTTATACACTTTTTTGGACTTACTCCTTCCACTGAAGTTGAATTAGTGAAAGATGAGGACTTTTTACCCCTACTCTTGGAATTCAACCAATAGAAACAACTGAGAATTCCTTTCCTAAAAACGGTGTAGCTGTTGTGTGGGGTGAACGGCGAAACTGAATCACTACAATTAAAATTGCATCAGCGCTCCCTGGTGGATTAGGGAAATAATTATTATTTTTATTTAGATTTAGAATATTAAAATTCAGGAATTAAGATTCCTGAGATTCAGGTTTATGATTAAATTCCCGTACAAAAAAAATTTTGGTTCCGGATGAATTTCCGGATGAACTTCAGATTGTGAAACAAATATGAATTTCATCATGAAAGTCAGCTGGAATTTCAGATGAATTTCATGATGAATTTGAATCACTTTGTATATGAAACTTAATTTTTTTAATTTGTGAAATAATATTTGGAGATAGTTATATTGGAATTTTTAGTTTTATTTATACTGGCTCAACATTTGCAATTCTATAACGTCTATTTGGATAAATTTTTTGGAGTAGAAAAACAAAATGTAAAATAATAATTCTTTCATGATGAATTTCGTGATATTATTCTGAATTTTGTGTTCTTCTACTCCAAAAAATTTATCCAAATAGACTTTATAGAATTGCAAATGTTGTGCCAGTGTAAATAAAACTAAAAATTCCAATATAACTGTCTCCGAATATTATTTCACAAATTAAAATAATTAAGTTTCATATACTATTTGTTTCAAATTCATCATGAAATTCATCTGGAATTCCAGCTGACTTTCATGATGAAATTCATATTTGTTTCACAATCTGAAGTTCATCCGGAACCAAAATTTTTTTTGTACGGGAATTTAATCATAAACCTGAATCTCAGGAATCTTAATTCCTGAATTTTAATATTCTAAATCTAAATAAAAATAATAATTATTTCCCTAATCCACCAGGGAGCGCTGATGCAATTTTAATTGTAGTGATTCAGTTTCGCCGTTCACCCCACACAACAGCTACACCGTTTTTAGGAAAGGAATTCTCAGTTGTTTCTATTGGTTGAATTCCAAGAGTAGGGGTAAAAAGTCCTCATCTTTCACTAATTCAACTTCAGTGGAAGGAGTAAGTCCAAAAAAGTGTATAAATATCCCCACTTAATCTGGCAGAGCTCATTCTCGTCAGTATTCTCGTCTCAGACACATCGTGCAAACTCTCAATTATTAACTATGACTGGTCGCGGTAAGGGAGGAAAAGGATTGGGTAAAGGAGGAGCCAAGCGTCATCGTAAAGTCCTTCGTGATAACATCCAAGGTATCACCAAGCCAGCTATCCGTCGTCTGGCCCGTCGTGGTGGAGTCAAGCGTATTTCCGGATTGATCTACGAAGAGACTCGTGGTGTCCTCAAGGTCTTTCTTGAGAACGTCATCCGTGACGCCGTCACCTATACCGAGCACGCTAAACGCAAAACTGTCACCGCTATGGATGTTGTCTACGCTCTGAAACGTCAAGGCCGTACTCTTTACGGTTTTGGAGGTTAATTTATTTGTCCCGTCTTTTCCCAACAAATTAAAACAAAACGGCCCTTTTCAGGGCCACCACATTTTTCATACTAAGAAAATCATCCTGTTTATATTTTAGTAATTGTATTTTAACTATTGAATTTTGTTTAAATGTTTCTAGTTCCAAAGCTGAATCATCTATCATTAAAATTGACATACATAGTTGTACATGTTTTTATTTTTGTATTAGAAATATTTCCTTACTCTAATGAGAGCTATAACGTATTGTTTATAAATTTATTTTGTTCTTATATTAGTACTTGTTTAGATGATATAAAATATGACACTTAAGTTAGCAACTAAAAAAATATTTCTAAAAAATTACACTTATAGTTTTTCAAGTTTTTTATGTGAATTTTTTTTTTTAATTGTTAAATTGAAATTATTTCAATAAAAAATTTCTAAAAATTTTGAAATGTCGGCTAACTTCATTTTCATTATAAAATATGTTTTGTAAAATTTAAAAAAATTCACTTGACCGTTTTATCACATTACAGTTTTAGTTTAGTTTTAAAAATCTCTTTATTTATCATTAGTTTTTACATGAGTTGTTACAAATTTTACTTTATCTGTTCCTATTTGTTTAAACAATTTACGCAGTTTAATTTATGTTTCTCAGTATCTAGTTTGTATGTTGATTTATTTAATGTTTCGATACAGTTTTCTGGGTAAAAATGTGAAAAAAACCCTTTAGATAATATCACATTACATGAGTTGCAGCTGGTTTTATATACCTATGTTATACCAATAATAAAATTGATAGATACTATACATACTAATAAACAAGTCTCGTGCAGTATTTTTCGGATAAGCTATAGTTGATGCTGTTTACTTTATTACCCACTTTCATTAAATTTTATAATTATTTGTCCATGTTCAATTAATTTATCAGTATCTAGAAAACTTTTCAGTAATTTTGAAATTATTTATAATAATTTACTTGTTTTAGTCGATATTGATTTTCAATTTATTTCCACCATTCAGTAGTACGTGTGCGTACTAACCAAGTAATCGAATGATGAATATAGTTTTTGTTCTCTGTAATTGAAATGATACTACGGCTGGTTTTAACTTAATTATGATATATTTATTAATCGTTGATTACAAATTGAACGAAAATATAAAGCTTAAGAAATTAATTAATATGAGTTTGTTCGGTCAAATTGAATAAAACTCAATTATTTCAACTATACAATCGATTTAATAACAATCGAATAATTGACGTACAGTATATGCAACTTATAATAATAATAATGATAATGAGGTTTAATACTACAAATTTTTATTGCTAAAAATTTAACGAAAAAATAAATTTCGACTAATCGAAAAATGGACATTTATTTAATAAATTAAAAAACAAATTGATTTATTTTACTGATATTGAAATTAGATTAAATTCTATTTTATTTTGCTTTAAGAATTTTTTTAGCTTGTAAAATAGGGTAAATGCACCAGTTGTTGACCGGTCACCAATTAGTTGACCGATGTATAAAAAAGTTAATTAATTAATATTTTACAAGGGTTTTTTTTTTTAAAGTATTAAAATAAAAAAATATGGCATTTAATCATCATAATAAAAAAATACGCAATTAATTGCGCAGTGATTATAGCTTTAAAAAAATATTCAGAGTTAGTTTACAACGCAACCAGCCATAAAGCGGTCATAAATAACTAGCGTACAATTGGAGAGTGAGTGAGTGCATTTCATCATTAATTTAGTGATATTTATCGGCATAATATAAAATATTTTAGTTTTATTATGTTAATTAAAGATCAGATTCCAACTTTTTTGAAAAAATAAAGTTAAATTATAAGTTTTAATATTATTTTAAGACCGGTCAACTATTGGATCCGTCAGAAGCCCTTTACCCAGTAAAAAATTCATTCGGTCATTTATTAGACCATCTGATTTTATCACAATCCAATTAATGACCGTATATTTATAATACTAACTTCTCAACCTCAAAATTAAATCTGTCAAGTGTTTAAAGTACTTTAGTCATTAAATATTTTGTAAATATAAAAATAATCATTATAAAATCTATATTTATAATTAAAATAATACTTAAAATCTTTTTTGATTATTAAATTTTATTTTGTTGTAATTTTTTTTAGTGAACGGTTATATCAAAGAACGAATTATTAGAAGAAAAAATTGCTAAGCAATTAAAAAAATAAAAAAGAGTTACAAGCTAGTAAAAAAGCTTTAATTGAAAAAAAGAAGAAGAATAAAAAAATTTCAAGTGAATCAGAAGAATTATCGTCATAAAAATGAATTTGTGATTATTTGTGACCTAAAGAAATCTGACTTTATGTTAATTATTGCTATTATTTACATTATTTTATAAAAAAAAGTACGATTTAAAATTATATTGCATGTTTAGTTTTGTTAAAGATGTCGTAAATACTTGAAAAGTACTTCATAAATTTAATTACATACATGTAGCTTACAAAATTACTTATAATTATTTCAACGGTCAATTAATTGGAGAACGGTCGGTCATTAATTGGGTTTCTTCGGTCAATAATTGGTGATTTAAAAATTTCAAGATTCAAATAACAAAATTAATATAATTTTGTCAATTTTTATTATAAATAGTTATTAATTATTATTAATTAAGTATTCAACTTTAATAAAATCCATTACAAATTGTTTTAAGAAGGTTAATAGATTTTTTATAGCTTAGCACAGAAAAAGAAAACCTTAATCGGTCAATAATTGGTCCATTTACCCTATATTAACATTTTCTCAATATAATTTTTATATAATAACAGAAAATTATTTTTAAATATTCAAAATTATTAATAAAAAATTAGAACTTTTATATACTCTGGCAAGGTTTCTTTACCAGCGAGAAAAAATTGCCACCTAGCGGCGAAGACAAGAACTAAGTATCCTAACCACATTTTTTACAAACTGTCACTATAAGCACATTCTAACTAAATTTATATTATTTTTAATAATATAAATTATAAACATTGAATAATTAATTTATTAAAAATTAATAAATGTTCAGTGTAAAAAATAGAACATGAAAAAAAATTGGCTTAGAGTTAAAAAAGTTATCTTATTTTTCATATTTTTAATATTTAAGCCAAAATTTTAATTTTTAACTTTCTAATCACTTTGTCTAATTAGGCACGATTAAAATTAAATTTTACATTAAAATTCTGGATAAACGATAAGAGATATAAAAAAATTGATAAAGATCTTATAGATAAAAAATTTAATTTTCTATAAAAAAAGTTTCTTATCATTTTTTCATATCTTCAGTACTCAGCCCAGAATTCCAATTTTAAACTTTTTAAATACTTGGTCTGAGTAGACACGATAGAAATCATGTTTAAAATTGAAATTCTGGATAAATGATAAGAGAGAGAAAAATTGATAAGAACCTTTTACCCAGAGAATTTAATTCTCTATAAAAAAGGTTTCTTACGATTTTTTTTATCTATTTATTTTTAAAAAAATCAATTTAAATCACTAAACAAGTTAATAAAAAACCATTTATCTAATTTTAAGTTTAAAAGGTCAGCTAAAATAATTAAAACTAAAAAAAAGTAATATAAATTCTGGAATTCATCAGATGCTGGATCGACGAAGGAAACTTCACAAGCGTCCTGGTTTATCCCGTCTGCGTGTCAACCCTCCTCAACCTGCTCTTTCTCTGCAACATTGTTCGCGTTCTTCTGACCAAGTTAAGAGCTGGGCCAGCAATCGGAACCCGGCCACCACGCTCGATGCTTCAAGCTTTCAGGTATAAAGAACAAACTCTGGATGTAGATCCGGACTAATTCAAAAAAAAGATCAGTTTCTTTTGAAAAATTAAATTAAATAATTAAACTTTTGAAAATACAATAATTGATATTATGACTATCATTAATCATTTAGAAGTTATACTTCTTTTTTATTATTAATTATCCATACATTTAGTTTTTTGAATATTATTGATCACAAAAAAGAAGAAATATGAATTAAGAAATTAAATAACATCAATTAATATTAAAAATTATCTGCAGTACGATTTTTAGATTGCTATAGAAATAATTAATTAGAAATTTCTAATTCCCTGACATTTTCAGGTTTTCTAGGTCAATCGCCACCGTGATTTATAATGTTCATTTAAAAATAAATTAATATCGGAAAATTTAAAATAAATTTTAGCAATTAATTTGTGATAACAATAAACAACATCGCCCAAACAAAACTCTTTTATCAACAACGAATCAAACACTTAAATATTCTGAACAATTTTTTTTATGAAAATGTTAACGACGTACCTTTCACAATAAAACACAAACTTCTAAACCAACTCCTACTTAAATAAGTCTATTTTACATTTAATCAATAAACAAGCAATAACCATGTAAATATAGTTAAGTTAAGTTGAGTAAATTATTGTCTAGGCTTAAGATAGTATGTCGTCAAATTTTTCTAGTGGATTTTTGTTAACTTTTTACCACGAAAATAAAATAGAAACTCTATGTAAGAAGAAAACATAAGATATATAAAGAATAAAAATAATTTGTTAAGTCGTAAGACAGGTAAAATTAGCCTACTGTGTACACTAAGTAAAATCCTAGAAACAATAATATTAAAACGAATTAAAATCCATGAGACAGAAAATAAAAATCTCATAGCAGAACAGTTTGGATTCAGAGAACACCACGCTACAGACCTACAACTGGCACGCATAGTAAATTATATAACTACCAAATTTAATTGGAATAAATCAACTGCATTAGTCTTACTAGATATAGAAAAAGCATTCGATACAGTTTGGCATCAAGCCCTTTTATACAAGTTACATAAACTAGAAATACCAATATACATAATTAAACTATTACAACACTACCTCACTAACAGACAAATCCAAGTTCAAGTAAATGATACACTTTCAGAAAAACAAAAAACAGTAGCTGGAGTTCCACAAGGATCCATCCTTGGTCCTGTTATATTTTTATATTATATAAATGACATTCCTAAAGATAATAACACAAATTTGGCTCTATTTGCGAACGATACAGCACTCTACAACGCTTGAGGTAATAAAAGAATTGCTCTAGACAGGCTACAAAAACACCTAGACACACATGGAATACTACACAAAATGGAAAATTAAAATTAATGAAGCAAAAACAGAACTAATTATATTCAGTAAAAGAATAAAAATAAAAAAAAACGAAGACAACCTAACAATTAACATCAACAATACAATTATAGAACCAAAAACTAACGCCAAGTACTTAGGAGTAATACTAGACAACAAACTGACATACGTCTCGCATATCAATAAAGCATGTTCTAACGCAAAAAGTATAAAGCATATACTATATTCACTCATTGGACACAGAAGTAAGCTGAGTATTAAATAAACTCATACTTTATAAAAGCATGATTAAACCAATACTATTATACGCGGCTCCAATCTGGAGTAGTGCATCTAACATTAACATAAATAAAATCAAAACAATTGAAAATAAGATACTAAGAATGATTAGCAATGCTCAACTTTATGAGCGGAATGACAGCATCAAATCCAGACTTAACATAGATGAAATCTATAATGACATTCACAAACGCACGCAGGACTTCTACAACAACAGAACCAAAAATTTAGAAATATTACAAGACGTTGGCATCTTTAATAAAGACACTGCCCTATTTAAAATTAAACACAAACTCCCGAATCACATACTCATTAATTGATCAAGCATCTTACTGTACATTTTGTAAATACTGTAATAGGCTAAGTTAGTTTGTAAGATAATTAAAATTATAGCTCATATGGTTTTTAAAACAATTTTTTTCATATTTATAAGAAAACAAAACTTCAATATAAAACATCAAAACTTTAAATATATAGAAATATTTGGTAATAATTAAGGAACAAATAATATTGTATTTACAAGTAATCAAAATTTTAAGATGAATAAAGAACTTTTAAATCGAAAAAAAAGGTAAAATTTTATGATAACGTAAAAATTTTAAAAATATGTAACCTTGTTATGTAACAAACCAATGATGTTATTTTTGAAAGACAAAAAAAAAAGATAATCTATGATAACTTAAAATTAATTAAAGTTTATTAAAAATTAAAAACTAATGAAGATAAAATTCAAAAGTATTTTACGTATTGAAAAATTTGGTGGCCCTGAAAAGGGCCGTTTGTTTTGAATTTAAAGATTTCAATTTGAGCTGCTTTTTTCTGTTTTCTTAGGTAAGAGAACAGCCTGAATATTGGGCAAGACACCTCCTTGAGCAATGGTGACTCCAGAGAGAAGTTTGTTTAATTCCTCGTCGTTACGGATGGCCAGCTGAAGATGACGTGGGATGATTCTACTCTTTTTGTTATCACGAGCAGCATTACCAGCCAACTCCAAGACTTCAGCAGCCAAGTATTCCATGACAGCGGCGAGGTAGACTGGAGCACCGGCACCAACACGTTCTGCATAATTTCCCTTACGCAACACACGATGGATACGTCCCACCGGGAACTGGAGTCCAGCACGGCTGGAACGAGTCTTAGACTTTCCCTTTACTTTGCCTCCTTTGCCACGACCAGACATGATAGATTTATACGGATTATAAAGCGTTAGTCTCAAAAAAGCTGACTGGAGTGCAGTCTGCTGATTGTGTTGAGCACTAAAAAAAAAAAACGAGGCATATCAATTTTTCGTAGGACCTTCCGGGCCAATGAAATCCCAGAATTCATGGTGGTGGGAAAAGCAACTGTTTCCTGCACTGTGACTGGACCGTTGGCTAGCTCACTGTTACTATTGTTATTATTATTTTCAGTATACGCAGTAGACCAATAAGATCACGCGTACTCCCACTACTCGTTCTTGATAATTTGATTGGTCCGCTGGCTACGTCGGAAAATTGATAGTACCCCTGAAAAATTGGCAGATAATTACAATTAAAATTAATTAATTACTAATTCTCATCTTATCTGTGTGACAAGTACTTTAATTATTATATTATCATCATGCCGCCTAAAACTGTTGGAAAAGACATGAAGAAGACTGGAAAAGCCCAGAGGAGCATTATCAAGGGTGGCAAGAAAGGAAGAAAGAAGGCCAGGAAGCAGACTTACGCTATCTACATCCACAAGGTGTTGAAACAGGTCCATCCTGACACCGGTATGTCCATGAAGGCAATGAGCATCATGAATAGCTTCGTCAACGACATCTTTGAACGCATTGCTGCAGAAGCTTCAAGGCTTGTGCACTACAACAAACGCTCCACTATCACTTCCCGGGAAATTCAAACTGCTGTTCGTCTTCTGTTGCCCGGTGAGTTGGCCAAGCACGCTGTCAGTGAGGGAACCAAGGCTGTCACTAAATACACCAGCTCTAAGTAAATTTCTCATCCTTGAATCTTTCAACAAACCAACGGCCCTTTTCAGGGCCATAAATTTTTCTACACGAAAGAAACTTTACAAGTTAATAATTAATTTATTTAAAATTAAATTTTTATTCTTTACAGCTGAAATTAATAATAAATTTCTGATGTTTTCAGGCATAATTAAAAGAAATATTCGGTTAATAATTTCATGATTCTTGATCAATTATCAAAGCTTTAATTGATCGTAGATTTTTTAGTTTGACTTAAATTGAATGGTCTGTATCTATTTTTTTTTAATTGTTTGGTTATCAAGAAATAATGCATTTAAAGCTTAGAATTTTATTATCTCTATTATTTAGAGAATAAAAATTTTAAATCGTTTTTTTTAGTGAAATTAAATGTCATTACAAGGGTCTTGACGTGAGTTTGACTTTTCAAGGTTTCATATTTTCACCGATAATTACTTTATAAGTATTTGGGCTGCATTTGAAAATGCTCTATCTCTAGATACATAATTAAGAAATAACCTTGTATCTCGTGATCTATTGACATTTTTAAAGATGTAAGCTCATCCCGATGTTATACTCATCAAGACCTTTCATTTGAGTACCCACATCATTTTTTCATATATTTATATATATTATATATATGTATATATGAAAAATATATAAAAATGCATGTGGGTACTCAAATAAAAGCTCTTGATGAGTTTAACATCGGGATGAGCTTATATCTTTAAAAATGTCAATAGTTAAAAAAGTA